AGGCCTGGGCCGCGGGGGAGCTCCTGCGGGGCAGGGCCGGAGGAGCGGGCGGAAGGTAACGCGGGCCGGCGGGTCCCGGGCAAGGCCAAGCAGCGGCGGGCTGCGGTGAGGTGAGGTCTCGAGTCCGAGGCAACGGAGGTCAGGTTTGAAAGCCTTTCTGCTCCGGCGTCCCTGCTGCCCCGTCTTCCCACCTCTTGCCCCGCGCGTGGCTGCGGTGGCAGCGGCCGCGCAGGGGGAAGGTAGCGTTCGGCCTCCCCGAGGTATTTCCGTGTAAGCTTTTTTGCCTGCTGCCTCCAGTGAGGTTACTGACTTGCACGAAGTTAGGTGGGATTTGCAGGACTTGTAAGGGCTCAAATCGTATCGGGTTTCATTTCTTATGCCTTAAATTCCCTGTGAAGCTAATCGAAAGTCAGCCGAAGAAGTTGCAGCATTTCCCAGAGTTGGAAAAACTCTGTTTATAGTTTTCCTTCATACACTTGTCATCAGCTTTGGCATCCTCCTGTCACTTGCAGGCATCTGGCTGCGGGTTCTCTGTTCTGTTGCATTCTTTACAATTTATAAAAATGTGATAATTGTTCATCTGGACCAAGCGCTTTATGGTGTCAGGAAGTTAAATCTTACAACACTGCTAGAAGTGGAGCAGTGTGTTAGTTTGTGTGTGAGGAAAGCAAGGTGCCACCTTGCTCAACACTTCCCCAGGAAGCCGGTGGAAGGACAGCTCAGAGCACACCACCAAGCTCCTGCCAGGCTTGCCCTAAAACCACTGCTGCGCAAGTTCTGCTTTGAATTGTACTTTGTGAGACAAGTAGTGAGAAGGTTCTGCAAAAAACTTGCTGTGTCAGTGGATGTGAGTATTGCATCTGAAAATCTTGAAGGTGGTTTTTGTAGTTAGACAGCACTCAGGCTTGGGAAGAACGGTTAGCTGGGAGTGGGCCATGGAGGTAAAAGTTGCCAGAGCTAAGAGCATTGTTATAAATTAATGCTTCTGGCGCACAGTTTTGTAACTTGGCTGTCTGACTCGTTGTGGCAGAGGTAGTGTGTGCTGCCTTGTTTGAAATGGCACCAAAACCTTAGGTGTTCATTGTTGTGCTTTTAGATGCCAGGCTAGCTGCCCTAATTCTCATCTCTGGCAGTTGCTGCCGACACTTACCTGCGTGCGTGCTGTGCTGTTAGCCGTGGGAGTCCTCTCGCTAATGCTTAAGTGCACTTCTGCAGCCTCTTCTCTGTTCTCTAAGTCTATATGTCTGAACTAAAGTGTAAACCAGGAAATTTTATATAACTGTGGGGTTTATTAGTCAAGGTAATTGTTAAAAGCAAAAAAAGAAAATAAGGGAGTAGAATACAGATAACAAATTGCCAGTGTCCAAAAGCAACATGTGCTATGTCGGCAGCCCCCTAAGATGGTGTATTAGAATTCAAACGATAGTAAACGTGTTAAAGAAAGATTTCATTACTATTTATTACAAGTTCTCTCTAGTCCTTGATAAGCTTGGGCAGGTAGTTTTGATACCAGCATTGAACAATGCTCACATAGCTGAAGGTGACCTTGTCCTGACTCGGTTACTTACTTACTAACTAACTAACTAACTAACACACACACACACATGTTGTGCATTCATATCCAGGTATAGTAAACCAAGAGTTGTCCCAAAGCTATTCTTATTCTTTGGAGTTTTATCTATAGTGAAAATTACTCAATAGCGTAGCTTCAAATAACGATTTTATGTATCTGTGCATGTTTCATTTTGAAGTTGTAAGTTTTCTTCATTAGGAAGTCTTTTGGAATGTTACAACTTTTTTATAACTTTCATATTATGGAAATCTCTGTTTCTTCTTATTACAGTAGAATTGGTGTAAGATTTGTTAATCTCTTCTTTCTTGTATTTGTGGAATTAGTAATCCAGTGTAATTTTTAGTAAACAGAAGCAATTTTTATTAAAATTGCATGTGCTTCATACATCTTAGTTGTTAATACGGTTTTAATTTGTATGTGTATTTCCTCAAAAGTGCATCATTTGGGTGCTTTTCAGGTGAGACTGACACACTTTTCACCTCCCACCATTGATGTCACAGACGAATAAAAGGTCAACTTGAGTAAAGCACTCAGTCTATCATGATAGTGTCATGATAGCTGCAATATTGGCTTCCAAGCTAAAACCTTAGAGTTTATGTATTGTGTATCAGTGGGGAAAAAAGTAATTTGTTATATAAAAGATCGGGGGCTTTCAGATCTGCTCACTGTCTCTGTTATCCCTACGTTCTGGTTCCACAGTGCAGAGCAATATGCAGAATAAACCAGTACATGCCACTGCTCTGATAGCAGCATTTTTTGAAGCCGCCCCCCCCTCCCCGTTTCTGGTCATTATTTGATCAAACTTAAGAGTCTAATGAGAAAGGGAGATAATTGCCTTTATGCTTTTTTGCAACTTAGTCACTGGAAAAAAAATGGTTCTTTGTGCCTGCCATCTTAAGTCATACCAGTTTGCAAAAGAAATGCCGTAATGTTTGCTGGCTTATTTTTCTTCCATAATCTACTTCATTAAGATGTTTTTTCCAGACCCCTGTACAGTGCAGCTTTTTTTGGTGATGGTGTGTGACATTATTGTCTTTTAAGTGATACTTTCTGTTCTCTGAAGAAATGCTTTTTATAGGTAGGGCAGAATCTTACCTGAAGACTCCTTACATCTCTCAGTGTTTTATCTTGGGTAGGTAGTTTATCATGCGGGAAAAATAAAGTCTTGCTTGGTTGGTTATCAGTTGGAAATAACAGTAGATGAAATCATAAACAGGTCTATAAGGTTGAATCTCACATCATTAACTCATACTGTTCAAGTGATGAGACTTGAGATCACTTTAAATGCAGAACTCTTGGGGGAGTTGGATACCTGGCAGTTAATTACTTATTTGCGATTTTTTTGTACATTATGTGAATATATCAATTTCTTTAATACAAGTTGTATGTCTTGCTTTAGCTTTTGATAAAGATTAGCTCTACATTATCGATTGCTTTTGTATACAAGTAGCACACTCCAAATTATTTGAAATTTTTTGTGCTCATCTTGCCTGGTGAGTGAAAATCCTTCAGGCCTTTTTTAAGAAACTAGATCAGGAAATTAACAGTTGCCAACTAAGATTTATCTAGTAATATCTTCTATTAGGCTAAGCTGTTTACCTTGATAATATGTCCATTATGAATTAGAGAGACATTAACATATGAAATAGATGAATAGCTTAAAGGCTGTAGTTTCTTCACAATTTAGCAAAACCTTGTAATAAATCTAGCTGGTTAACTGTTACAGCTGTTGCCCAAACCCCTCACCAGTTTTGAAATCTTGACACGTTTAGCAAGCTGGAAGGCTGCCTCCTGCATACGTCAGCTCTGCCACGGCATTTGCAGAACTGCAGGGTAGGGCTTCTGGGGGGGCCTGCAGGCTGGGTCCAGAGCCACACGATAATGGTGGCAAAATGGACTCCTGTTTATTATGAGCCGTGGATCAGAATTACACTGAATTTCCTGAATCAGCCTTAATGGTTGAATCAGCAATGTCTTTACTGGTGTCAAAACAGGCTTTATTCGACTGTTATAAGAAAGGATTAATTTTAAAACCTTCATAGAAAAAAGGATATGACTTGTGTAGTGAGTGATCTTAGAAGGGGCACATAGGTTACATGCAGTGACTTGTAGTGCTTTTTTTAGGGTTCTCAAAATGAGAAAGTTGGAAAGTGGGTTTGGTGAGGCGTTAATAATTACATGTAAATGCATGCATGTACATCTATTTCTGGCATTTAGGAGGTAGCATTTGAAATGCTGTGAAATGGCTGGTGGATACAGGAGGCAGCTGGGGTTTTTTGACCTGTGCCAAGTGAAAGTCCTCCCATTGGTGACAGTTAAGTTGATTTGGTTTTTTTCTCCCCCGCTTTCTAGGGTTCACAAGGTGGTAGGCAGATCGTGCATGGTTTCATAGAGGCTGTCTCAGGTTTATAACAAGAACAGAAACTAATCTGGTTTTAGCAGCGATTTTTTTAACATCAGTTTAGTAGTCGACTGGCATTTAGAGAGAATTTCATACTTCATTTCCAGTGAGTTTCTAATATCAGCCTTGGTCAATCCAACATGAATATTCAATGTTAAGTTCAAAGTTTCTTTAATTAATCACTTTGGGCATTTGAGCTGACCACAAGTAGAGTCTTACATTCCATAAAGTATGGTTGCATAGAAGATTTATGTATCTCTGTTTATTGGAAAGTGGCTCTATTGGGACTGTGTGCAAGTAAGGGAAAAAAAAAGGAAACCGTGATCTCAATCTTGATGCCATTAGTTTATAAAAATTAGCATACAAGCTGGGGAATCAGGCGCAGCCTTGAAGGAGATCTGCATTTTACCCGTGGTTATAAATCTAGTCTAGAGTTGATACTACCTGCTGTTTCTGAGATAGTCGTGTTTTTCTCCGTGTTAACACTTGCAATTTAGTGCATTGGATAAGTAACAGATTTCTTCTTTTAACACCTTTTTACAGCTATTTGATTAGCAAAATGAAGCCTGCAAAGCTGCACTATTGGATTCTGGGTTGGTTTTCTATGGCATTATGTTGTTGGTGTACTTCAGATAAATTCACACAAAGGTAAGTTACGCTTTAAAAAGAAATCTCTGACAGATGTTTCTTAAGACCAGAATAGTTTAACTTGTAATGAGTGTAAATTTTCTTATTTTATTACGTGATATTTTTGATGTGTTATTCTTCCCTTAGGTGACTGGTAAAATGAGGCATCTACATTAACTGGAGAAGAGGGGGTTATGCCTAAGAAAAGCTTTACATTTATTGATGTGTCAGCATGAAAAAAGAGGGAAACTTAAATTACATTCATTGCACTTAAAAACTTTGCAATCTTTTTCATACAGCATCCCATCTGGGGCTGTATCAGTGTCGTGCAGCTTTTTGGTGGTTGTTGCACTTGGCAAAATCTGAGCTTGAATACCAATGAGCCATGGGGGAACCCATGCCCCACATCACACCCTTCTGTGGTAAAAGCTCAAATTCCTATTGCATTATATTAGGAAATAAACTTTTCTCCTTCCTTCCAATGTTTTGGCAAGAGAATTGTTAAGGGTGCTCAGTTCAGTGCTGAACTTTGTATAATGGCTACATTGCAGCTGGTTGGTAGCTTAGACACTATGCTGAGGTTTCTCAAATCCCTAGGACTTGGGCTATGGCTTGGCCATCTCGGTGGAAGAGGCAGCTTTAGGGGCACAGTGCTGAACTGCACTGGGCAGGATAACTCGGGTCAAAAAAAGGGGAGATATCACTGAAGTTGGATAGGTATTGAAAATAGCTTTCCTTGGATGCCAGTTCTGAGCTTAGGTTTCTAAAACTTGGTCTTTTTAATAACCAGAATTTTCTGACCCATCCTTAGCCAAAAGGTGTGTTCTAGGGGAACTTGTTCTGGCATGATTGTCGTTGCAGTTCAGCTGTTATTTCAAATACAGGTGAAAGACGGTATTTTTCTAAGCAAGGATTTTTTTAAAGCAAGGAAACTAACTGCTCTACAATATTAGGGAATTCTTCTATTCAGGTTTCCACAGCAGCAGTAAAGACCAGTTAGAAGTGTTAATAGTTTTCATTGTGGCTATGCCTGATCCGTTCCAGAGCTATTCTGCTAAATTATTTAAAAACCACAGATACATGTGAATGCTTGAGAGAAAATGTGGCCATTGCAAACTAGCAAAACCAGAGGAAAAAATTGAGACATGTTGTAACATGGGAGCACCCCTACTTCCTCAGGTTGAGAAGAATTAGCTTTTTCTCATATTTTTTTTATATAACCTCTGGCAAGCACTAATGAAGGACATGTAGCTATTAGCTTCCAGAGAATAACAATTTATTTTCACAGTACTGCACATCATGCTGTCAGTTTGAACAATTTACAGTTCTGTTTTTGTTGACTTTCCCACTTGCTGTTCTATTTAACCACTTAGTGTGGTTGCTTAATAGCTAAATATATCTGCTGTAGTGTCTGAAGCAACAGGGTTTTTATCTACTTCTAGTTTATCCAGAATAGGTCTGCTACAAACTATTGGAAAATGCCTCTGTAGTAGTGGCAAAGACATGATACAGGTTTCCAACACTTTCTGTATAAAATTTGTAAGCTTTTTTTTTTTCCCTCTGCATAGGAATAAGACAGTACTGATGCTTCGGAGTTACAGATCTCTTTATTCTAAGAGGCTTTGAAACACAAGTGCTTCTGTAAAATATAGGATAGTCCTTCTTTAGTTCTTCCTTAGGTAACCTTAAGTTTAAAACCTTAACACTTTAAACTTTAACCTTAAGTGTTAAACCTTAACACTTTTTAAGTGTTTTAAAATTGCTTAATTTCTAGTAAGCATTTTAAAAATGTAGTGTTTGAATTAAATGTCTATAAAATTATAAAGTCAGCATTTTTGTGCTTTATGGTTTTTACTTTTCATTCTGAATTTTTTTTTTTTGATCTAAAAGGGTGGAGACACTTGCAGGATCAAATTGCATCTCCTGCAGTGTCAACTACATTGCTTGTGGTTGTTTGTAGTCTTTCTTTTTTAGAAGCATAGTTACAGTTCCAAGAATGTTGTATACTTTCTTTTCAGCTAATATACCCATCAAGAAGAGTTAGAAGATTCTTAACATCCTAAACAAAGATATCTTTGTTTTTTACTTACTGTTGTAAAAGCTTGCCAGTAAGCACTCTCCTAAATATAAAACAGAACAATATGTTTCTTCCATATTTAAGAAATTGAAAGCATAGGGAGGTAGGATGCCAGGAGTGGCATTTGTTTAACGATGGGGGGAGGTATTAGCAGGTTTCTAAATATGTTGTTTCTAAGTGATTTGTTAGTTTGGTCCTACTGTGTTTGGAGTTCTCAAACATTGTGATAGAAGCTATAAACAACAACCAGCTCTAAAATCAATGCATTATACTAGGAAGCATTGTGCTGCTGGCTGAAGGTGTTGCTCTTTTTAAAATGCTTGAGGAAAAATAGATTTCTCTGTCTTTCTCCAGTGACAACCACCCTCATACCTGGAAAAAGCTCTATCTTGCTCATCATTGGCCAGTGACTGTATGTAAGGTGAGATTTTTGTGTTTTGTTCTCTTTTATCCTGACAAAGGTAGCGTTGGACAATAAATGTTTGAAAACAGAATGAACGAAGCCCATCAAGCATTTAACCTTGCTTATGCCCTTATATCTCTATAAAGGCTTTTGCTGATCTTCGTGCAACTTCTGCTACTTCCCCTGCACTCCAGAGTAGCAGTAAACAAGACAGGATTGTGGCGTGTTACAGATATAGTAGTCAATGTAGGACATACTGTACGCTAAGCCTTAATTGCTTGTTACATATTTTATGATGTCTTGTTAGTTGTAAACTTAATCCTAGACTTTCACCAGACTCTGTAAGGATACTTGCCTTCCTTGTCTGACTGAAGAACTGTAGATTAGTACTTGAACTTGCTGCACAACAAGCTTTAGCTTTGTAATGTTGGCTCCAGCGTTTTAATGATAAGTCATCAAATATCGATTCAGTCAGGAAAAAGAGAGCTATAAAGCTGTTATGGCAGGTGTCTCTGAGCATTTCTGTATTTGAGAGGTGGGAACCAAAAATGAACCTAACCTTCCAACATATGTCTGTCAAAAGCACAGTTGAGGTGTACTACTTACGTCCCTTTTGCTATTAAGTACCTACTGCCATCAGATAAGTAGAACATTTTTCCTATGCTGGAAATACTCGAAGGCCTCTTCTCATACAGCTAGGTTAAAAATATGCTATACTTCAAAATGGAAGATGTAGTCAGATTTACTGACACAAGGATGAAGAACCCTTGGATAATAGAGAAGCTTCAGTTTCAGGCAAATGTCTCTGGAGCAAAAAAGGTCCCAATTCTGGGAGACAGGTTTATTTATTATAATATTAGATTCTTATTTTTTGTGCTTTAGGTACTTTTTTTATTTCTCATTCCTATTTCTGGAAATACATATAAAAGCAGTAGCAGCACAAGTCACATACTGCCTAAATTTCTGAGGAGAAGTAGATGTACTTTACATTAGTTAAATATGGAAGGGAAGTATCAATAACAAAACTCAGATGTGCATGTCTAACTGAGACTAAGTGGCCACTGTTCTATTTTTCGTTTGTTTGCCTGGTTTTGAGGGGCAATAGGGCAGATTTGATGCAATTTGTGTTTGATTTTCTGTTGAGTCAACACCCTGTTACTGACTTCAAGCAGAGATGTTGGTGTTCAGGAGTTTGTAGTGCCTGGCACGAGTGGGCGTTCAGAGTCAGTAGCAGTGCAAACCCTTGCTTAAGTGAATGAGATGGAAACAATTAAAAAAAAAAAAAAAACACGCCACCACAAAAACCCACAAATCAACCAAACAAAAAAACCCTACCAACCAGTTTTCCCACTGTATATTCACGCTGGCTACTACTCTGAATTCCAGGGTAGTGCTATTGGTAAATTGACAAATAACCTTTATAAACTTACAGTGAAATTGTAATGAGTAATTGAAGATACTAAGCATCAGAAAATGTAGGCTTTCTTACACTTTGTTGATTCCTTACGATCTTCTGTAGTAAGATGTGGACAGAAGCATTCGAAAGAAGTGAAGAAAAAGTGAAATTAAAATCATATTAAGTGACTTTTTGACCAGTTTCACATCACTGAGTCATATGAAGAAACAGAATCTCACCTGTACTCCCATAACAACTTTTTTTTTTGCTAACGTTAATGTAAGAGGAGTTCCCAAATTCAACTGTGGGCTTTTTTTTAAGTACATAGGATCTTCTGCATGTTCAGTGTATTTATATATGATTGCTGTGTTATTTCAGGGAGGAAATATTTTTAATGTCATTCTTCAGTTTAAAACTGTTGACGTGATGTTGAGAGGAAAAATAGTTGGGTGAAGGAAACTGCAAAACTCATTATATCATTTAGTAAAAAACCTTTGAGATACTAATTTGTGCAAGTACTTACTAGTTTATGCTTCCTATATAAAGGAACCTGATTATAGACTACTTTGCTACACGGTGTGTTCTTGATATGTGAGTGGATGACCTACATCTTAATTCCTACCTGTTTTGCATGTCTGTGTTCAAAAAGTTTTTCAGGCTTTTGAAGGCCTGAAAGGCCTTTTTTAAAATTTTGCGGGCACAGTTCAGCATGCCAGAAATTTGAGAATACGTATCTCCCAGCTCTTCCTGTGCTTTAAACTGTATGTGTTCAACTGGTGCTTTTTAATACTGAGTGTGATCAGCACAATTAAACTGGAAAGTAAGCGTTTTGTAATCATGTCTTCTAAACTAACCTATTAAAATAGTGAGTCTCATGGAAGCAATAGTAACACCAGGACTTAACTACTGACTGCTGCAGTGAAAGGGTGAAGGAGGAAAAGAGATGTTCTTCCTCATCACGTGATTAGAAATTCCGGTACCATGTAATTGACCTAAAGTGACTATGTCCTCTACAAAGATATCCAAGCTAAATTCAAAGACCTCAAGTGATTATGAATTTAATGTCCCCTTAATAAATTGTGCCTGTGGTGCAATTTATTGAAGTTCATGTGGCTAATTCATGTCACACTTAAACTTTCTGGTCACAAATTAACGTGAATCCTGTTAGGTGGAAATAGGAGCAACTCAAGGGCAAGAAGAGGGACTTTTCCCCCTCCTTTTTTATGGAGTTGTGAAGAACTTTAATTCAAGAACTTAAAAAGGTAAATATTATTGCAACTTTTGCATCTTGGAGATGGCAAAAAGAGAAAATCTTCTGTGGGTGTTTCCTTGTGAAATGGGGAAAATCTGATGCAAATTTGTAGGCTGTTCAGTTCCTCCTCTGTTGAGAACGGGAAGGATGGTAAAGAAATGGGTACTAAACACTGCTGTGATTTGTCTTCTACTGCACATATGTGCTGATCAAATGAAGAATCAAAGAAAGGACAACAGAATAGGCTGGTGAACAGAACAGCGTGAATTTGAGTTTGAATGTAGTGTTAAGCAGCAGATGAAATTAATTTTCTTTTTTATATGAGATAAAGATTTTCCTATTTTTAGGCTTTGGCAATAATTTTATAGCAAAGGCTTAAAGGAAGAATAGAAACACTTTTTTCTTCTTTTTTTGGTAAAAATAGAAGCAGTCACATAATATAGAAAGAATTAAAGTGACTGAGGTGAGGGCAGTACATTATTGTGATCTAGCATTAGATCAAAAAGTTCCTTAGTAAAGGATACCTTTATTTCTTTGTATAAAGCCAGGTGTGTCAAAGTGAGTGCAGCTCTTGACATACGCTATTTTGGAAGAAAAGAAAGTTGTTTTTTCCTAAATGCCCATGTTAACTCATAAGATAACTCTTAATCTATGCCTCCAACTTATCTGTGAATAAGGTCTGGTTTAGATGTTTTTGTGGATCTTCTGAAAGGATAAACACACGAAAGGTTTTAGCTTATCAGCTCATGCTAGAGAGGTGTTCAACAAGAAGTAAATTTGTTTTATTTCCCTCCTCCCAGATTTTTTCAGCAACCTTATACATTTGGTTCCTTCATTGATTGGCTTTTACCTGGGATGTGGGGGGAAGGAGGAAGGGGGATAATTACAGACTATTTGGGGGAGAGAAATTGAAGAGGTGAACTCTCTCCACAGTTTCAAAAGCAAGGATTTTTCATGGAAGTTGTGATGTTTCATTACAAAATAACACTTAAAATTGATCTTAATTAAACAGATGGCCTACTTAAACAGGGTGGTTGAAAGGGAATTTTACTTCCCAGAAGCTGACTTTTTATTTAAACTTGGGGTAACTGTATGTGATCCAGTAGCACTACCCTCTCCTATGTACAAGCTGCTATACCAAGGGATTTGTAACTTGGGCAGCTCTACAGGTAACACTTCTGTGACAGTTCGGTGTTTCACTTTTCGGCATGTCAGAGGTGAAAGGAGCTCCCACGCTTCTAGCAGCTGCTGTTTGTCCAAGTCTTGCTGTTACAAATAGGCTAATCTCTCTGCTGCAGCATTTCCTCTCAGCATGGTGGGTGCTGTAAAGGCTCTCTGGCACTTTTCTCAGTGTTATAGATCATGTATGGTTAATTTGGATTGGTTTGATTATTAGATTGCTTTAAAACAGGAGAAAGCAATGTTTCTTTTTCAAATTAATCTAGATATAGAAGGCTTTCTGGGGTCCAATGCCTACTTGAAAATACACATTTGTAACTCTCTCTTTCAAGTGAACGGTTGCCTGAGGTTGAATCAACCTTCAGCAATCAGTATATGATAAACAGGAAGGCTGACAAGTGTTTTTGCAGAAGTAGCAGGCGTACCCAGCTTCTCAGACTAGCGTTTGCACATTTTATGATACCGATTTAAAATTAACGTTGGAAAAATACTATGGCTAGAATTAAAAAGGAGGATGAATGAAGCTGGCCAAAGCATGCAAAGTGTGAACTAATGCGTTGTAGGTTGCATTGACCTCACAGTTCTGCCAGCACGCAGTGTAACACCAAGAGCTTGATGAAATGTGTAGAAGAAACTGCTAATAAGATTAGTGCTGTGATAGGGGAGACCTGATTCCAAATTTAAAATACTCTGGGCTTTCCTTTAGCATGTCTGAGAACTGCAGTTAAAGACTGGAAAAGGAGCACAATTGCACTGTTCTTGGTACCACCCTCGGTGGAGCAAGCTGGTTAGCTGTCAGGTTGTTTTTCAGGGGATGATGCATTTAGCTGCTGGCAATTAATTTGCTGTATTTTGGGCTGGATAGCTGAACTCTTTCAGCTCCCCAAAGCTTGTGTCATGACAGGAGCAATATTGTTTAGGCATTTGCAGTGTGTGTTTGTTGACAATATTCCTTTCAGGAAAAAAGCTGTTGCTGGGTTTAATTGCTTCTATTATTGGTGGCAAGAGAGGAAAGGAAGGAAATGGGCACAGAACAAGAAAGTCTTGCAAAGTTTGCAGTTCTGCTGCCACTGGCCAGTGGCATGTGGAAGGCAATTAGTGAGATTACAGGCCTCTCTCTGCTCTTCTCTATACTCTGCTCTTGCTCTGGCATCACATAAAAGGCATTGTGGCATAATTAAGACAGGATGCAGAGCTGAAAAGGAAAGCTATTATTATGGGGAAAGAAAGTCTGAGGAGGTTGTTATTTAATGGCAAAAAGTGTTTACTAAAAAAAGCCATAATTACTACGCAGAATAATCAGGGAAAATACAGTAATGGTATTCTGTGATGTGTGAACATGGGAGTTTTTTTGTTTTGTTCAGGAATATGTACTCTGCTTTAAACAATAATTAATGTGTAGGCTATTTCTCCTGCATTATCAAAAGTTTTGACTGGGTTGTTGGGTTTTTTTGTAGGAACGTATATAGTCTTTCTTCTCTCGTTCCCTTGTCCCTCAAGTCAAAATATTTAAAAAATATATTCTAACCATTTTACTTGGAATAAGCAACCTATTTCATCTCTCCTTTGTATTTTTCCCATTTAATACAACAGAATTACTCCTGGATGCTTAAAGATGGTTGTGTGCTTGTCTAATATTATAGTTTATGTTGATGTTTTTTATTTTAATGGCTCTGCACTCCTTCAAAAAAATCTGATGATGAGGAAAATACAGAAAGCTGCCACCTGGAATATGATAAATGCAGATTTAGCTCCATTCATTTAGCATGGATCAGGCTACTTTCTATCACCTCAGAACCTGTCCTTTGTCTTCTTTTTACACTGCCTGTTCAGGATGTCCCATGATACTCACTTGATCTGCTTTAAAATTTAAACGCCAGTTGGTCTCTAAGTGGCACATGATCCGTGACAGCTTCAAGTAACTGGAGTTCACCGGTTCCTGATTTGGGCAAGCAAAAATTCTCACGTCTCACCACAGCCTTGGACCACCAGTGAATGAACTTTTATTTTTTCCTCTAAACCATTGTCCCTGAACACATATAACAAATATTCTGTATTTTTGTTTTCCACAGATGAGTGATCATGATTGTCAAGACCCTCCAGAGTACTGGACAATCCATGGACTGTGGTATGATCATAGAGTGTTTTTATTTCAGCCTGGAAAGGAAAAATCAAGTTTTGTACGAGGATATTTAGTGCTGCTTTTTTTTTGAGGGCTTAATCTATCTGCTTTTATGATTCCTTGAAACAAAAGCCTTCATTTTGTTGGAAATCAAAACCCTATGATTTGATATAAAGCTGAAATACACTTCTGTATCTCATGACTCACTGAGCTCCTGAAATCCTCTTGCCACATGAGCATTTTATTTATACATCTCCTTAGAAGATCAGTAATGTTCTTAAACAGAAAGGGAAGTATAGTTTCCCCTCTTTTTTTTTTTTTCTCCCCGAGTACACAGAATTTGTTAATGTCTCGTGACTGCTTGTGACTTTAAGTATCTTAACTCAGCACAAATATTGCAAAAGTACAGGAAAAACTAATTTGCTTCAAAGGAATCAACTCACTGGAATTGGTGCCAATGGCAGCAATTCAAAGGTTTTCCTGACAAATACAGAGAAAAATTCAGTACAGGAGTTTAAGCTGTGCGTCCTGGAAAGGTGAGCAGCATTATGTCTAGATTTCCAGTGAGCGTCTTGGTGATACTTGCAGAATCATCACTTGGTGCAGTGGTTGAGGAGGTCAGTGTCATTAGAGACATCATGTTCAAGACCCTTCTGTATCATTTACGCTCCCTGTATGTCTCTTACGTGGTGAGAGGGACTGGAGGGCCTAACGAAGAGCCTCTGCATGGGAAATGTTTTTGCCATAATTAATGTCTTGAATTTTTACTTCTAAAACACTGTAGATGCTGATGGGTTACTTGCATTTTTAAATAGAATCTCTACCTATAATCGTGCATATTTAAAATTCAGGCTAATGATACAGAATAGAATGCTGTTAGTTACCATTAGTGAGCTAGGAGACATCTTTTTTTCACTTTTATTCTGCTTCCCTAGGCCTGACAAAACTGAAGAGTGTAATAGGACGTGGCATTTCAATGTCACCGAGATTAAGGTATTTATTTAAAACAAAAACAGTCGTACCAAGCAGAGCTGAGTGCAATTACTTTTGCACATCCTACATGCAAAATCTGTAGCTTGTAACGTATCACTCTTAATGTTTGCTGAGAGGTATGTTCTTCTAAAGATTCCACAAATTCATTAGGTGCTTCTGGTACTATTTGAAGTTGCAGTGCTTGTGGTCATTAACAGCTGTTCCTACTTGATTTTGTAGACATGTGGTTTGACTTGTTCAGCCACATCCTCCTTAAAAAAAAAAATCTAGAGAACATAGGCGGTGGATCTGCAGTGGCAAAAAGTACCTGTGAAAAAGAGGTTACAGTCAGTCCATGTTCTCTCTTCCATTTTCTACTGCAAAGTCAGAACACAGAAAATAAGAGTTTGGAGTACATTTTTCTGTGTGTTTTCTCCAAGGGCATTAGTCCTTTTTTATTCTTTTTTTAATTAAAAAAAACTTCCATATTTCATTCAAATGTGTTGTAAACAGGGATAGGAGGCTTGAGCTGACAAATGTGAAAAGCTGCATGACTGAACAACTTCTGCAGGGACAGCTGAAGGAAAATCTTTCTTTGAGGCAGTGTGTCGATATTAATACATTCAGATATTTAGATAGTTGCACCTACCTGTTACCAACAACAGCATTTTCAGAATATTGGGGAAAAAGACCTTTTCTTTTTCTGGGAGTAAATGTTTCAGTTGGGGATGTTGAAAGATGAGGCTTCAGTTTTAGAAAATGTATCAATCTATGTAGATTGTGTAAGAAATGGCTTTTCAACACTATAGGTGCATTTATTAATTGTGATATTTTTAGGATCTTATGTCAGACATGAGACGCTATTGGCCTGATGTGCTTCATTCGTCTCTGAATCGCACCCAGTTCTGGTGAGTACAAAAAAACAAAAAAGTATTTTGGATATTATTTTCTAAAAAAATCCATCTAAGTTAGTAATTTTTCAGGTGAGATGTTGTGCATGAGAAGCAGTGTCCAGGAGGCCACTGAAAGCAGTGCGTCTTGTCAGTCTCATTTACAAAATAAATCCATTTTCTTGTTAGAGCCCCTGCAAAATGCAGCTGTTGAAGAGAGGGCTACGGCAGAGGTTTTGGAGAAATGAAACTTGGTGAAAGACAGAGAGAGAGAATGTGTTTCCTCCCTTTGCCCCCAGGGAGGAGAAGCAGCTGCTGTTGACACGTTAAATCTGAATAGCAGTAGCACTCCTGGGATGTCACAGCTAGCTGCAAGAGCAGCTTCCAGGCCTCTGTTCCTAGCTAGCTTCACTATGTTTGCTGGCTTTGAGAGACCTTTCCTTTTGGGCTTTCTTACTGAGGAGGAAATGGAAAAATAGGATGCATTGGATCATCCTAGCCACTTGTCTACAGAATTCTCTCTTTTTACTTAGTTTCCTAGCAGTGTAAAATCGGATCTGGGAATTTATTTAGAGATCGATCTGCTTGGTTCATGGGAAGGGAGAAAGAGATTTTGATCTCTCCTGACAACAGTACTGTTTTCCTTCTTTTCCATGTTTGTCCTTGCTTCTGAATAATCAGGCACTTGGACCAGAGAGCGGTATGGGTGGTATTTGAGTTTGCACAGGCTTCAGTTCGAGTGCATTATTTTAAACTAAAATCAGTGGCCGTTCCAGTTAATTTGCTGACCCATGAGCTGCATTGGTCAGGGTATGGATATGCAATTTGTTCTTCCAGATCTACAGTGAAAGCGGTAACATCAGATAAGAAGCAGAGCACATAGCTAGAGGCAGTAGCATTTAAAGCCATCTCAACTATAAGTGCCCATAAGTTTTTCCTTTGGATTGGATGACTGTTTCCTCCCTGTGTCACTAGGCAAAAGCTTTGAAGGGAATGTGCATCTCTTTTAGTCTTGTCCTTGCTCTACAGAAGACACTTGTCCTCAGAGTCTTAAACTGGTTCCACAAGTGTCTTATGGCAACCTAAACTTGTAACTGTCAAAAGTGGTGTCGCTTTTTCCTCCCTCCACTCCTCTGTTCTTGCACTGTGCCGGGGAGAGCATGACTGCTTCTTTCTGTGGTAGCACAAGTTTATGCCACCTTAAACTGTTCCTGGAATCAGAATAAGAAAAATATGTCTTAAATCTAGCACCTCCCATGCCCTGACCACCTACCTGTTCATAAAAACAGGTGCATACCAGTCCTTATTTTACTAACAGATATTTTAGTAGGCAGCATATATGAACAGATACAATCAAAACCTTTTCCCTTTCAATTCAAGGCTAGCAAATAGCACTTATGTCAATAGCTGGAAATATAATTAGAAATATCATAAAAGCAGTACAAAAGTCAGATTATAACCCTAACTAATATTTTGATTGACAGAAATTCAATCCCTTTCAGTGACGTGACAAGTGCACTGTAATTGGCAGCTCTAATTGCAGATTTTGTAAACGCTTTATTCATTCTCTGTTCAGAAGTAGTGTATGAATTTCTCTAGATACAACCATAACTTCTTTTAAAGTGTTTTCATTCCTGAAGAAAAATCTGAAGTTCCTAATAAGAATGGACAATTCAAAAGCAGGCTTTCAAGTGAATAATAGTTGTCCTTGTGCTTCTCTGCTTTTCCATGAGGTACTTAAGGCATCATAAGGTCAGGGAATGCTGTGGTAGTGGCAGGAATTTGTGATTAGATAACTTTTTGTATACATCTGCTGAATTGATACCTATTTAATACAAGTGGGTCGTGAAAATTTGAAAAGAAAGAAAGAAAGAAAAAAAAAAAGACACACACCCCCCCCCCAAATCCGCAGGTGGTCTTATTAAAGATTATACTGTTTAGTCTTTCAATAGACTTTAGAATTGATAGAAGTATATTTTGAGGTTTGCCACATTTTTTGTCCTATTTGAGTTTGTCTGCCATAAAATTGCAAAAATTGCTTTCTTTTGCACTCTGTTCCATGGTATTAGAAGACTTGATGGTGGAATAGAAGCAAGACTTAAGAGCAGGCCTCTGAAACATACTGCCATAGGCCAAAGTAAAAGTTGAGGCAACAGTCTTGTCTTAGCAGCTTGTGTAGTTTCGCTGTTCCATCCAAAATAAGGGTTAGTCTCTTCAGTTCTGAAAAATTTTTAGTGCTTTGAAAGTACATTTAACATAAAAGACTCCACTAAAACTTATACACAGTTTAGAAATACTCGTTTTCCAAGCAAATTCTGACCTCCAAACATCTCTTTGTAATACACTGAGAGACCTTGGTGTCATAAAAGCACGATACATATTTACTTCATAAATTCCTTCATTCAATTTTTTCAAAAACAAGCTGATTCAAAGGAGACAGCTAAAAAAATCAAACACCCAACCTGTTTGGGCTAACTTAATCTAAAGAAACACCCGAACAGCGCTTTTGGCCTGTTAAAGTTTTGTCACACTCTTGTGACACAAAGTTCTCTTAGTCAGCTTTGGAATGAAGTAATGGTTTATTCCACATCAGTATCTGTCTTATCTCCTTGCCTTGCAATGTCCAATCTTAAAAAGATAGCTGATGGGGGAGTGAGGGGAAGAGTGTTATCCTTTTGGTGGGATAACAGGTTGAAGGGCTGAACTATAAATAACTTTTGCACAAATTCCTATAGATAATTTATAGGAAAACAGAATACTGATTCTGAATGTCCCAAGTCCGTACTAATATCCAAACCATTAGACCATCTTCTCCCTTATCTTCTGTAGCTCTTACATTAATTTGAAAAGTGTCTCTCTTGCAGCTGCCAATGTTAAGGCCAACTCATTTATACATTTTTAACATGACTTATTGTCCGAAAGAATTTTTCCTTAGTTTGATGTTACAAACCATAATGAGGGACTTCTTGGGCTTCTTCCTTAGTTTCCTCATAGGTCCAAAATCTCTTGGTAAATGATTCTACTAAAAAAATATACAGATGTTGCTGTAATTGAAATGGTGAGAGTGATCTTTCTTGGTTTTGCTTTTCGCACGTGCAGTATTTTTTGAGTGCAGTGTCCTACTTCACACATGTAGCTGTTCAGGTACTTGATTTCAGTACATTGGCTAGCTTGTGCAGCACATACATCTGCAAATAATGTTTTCTAAAACTTAAATTTTGCTTTTCTCCTATAGGAAACATGAGTGGGAGAAACATGGCACTTGTGCAGCCACACTTCCGGTCCTTAATTCTCAGAAGAAATACTTCGGTAAAGCTTTAGAACTCTACCAGCACGTTGATCTTAACAGGTACGTAAATGAACTCGGTGGTCTACCTCTTATTTCAAACAGTTTCTAAAAGTTTCAAATCTAGCCTAAAAAAAGAAGTCTAAAAACCCAGTGGCAGAGGGGAAATGAGTATTAGCATAAATTATTTTTAGTACTGGAGTGCAGAGGAAGGGTTGTCTACTCTGAGAAGCATGTCTCTGGTCACTTCAGAGCCTGGTAAGCCAGCAGCATTCTTCACAGCATCATTTTAGCCAGTGAGCCAGTAAATTTTGAGAAGCTGTATCGGCTATATCTCGCTACCAAAAGCTATGGTACCTGCAAACTTCTAAATCAAGTGACAAAAACCCCCAAGCTTCTGAGTCATACTGAGGCCCAAGCACTTGTTTTTTAGGAAAGACAGTGCTCTGCTCAGAGGAAAGGACAAGCTGCAGGCAAAATCTTGCAGAACATCCTGGGAAAAGGTGAGAGGTAACAGCAAGAGAGGATGTCCTGAAGAGCGGTGTTCAGTCGCTGCAGGCAGCTCTCTGCTGGCCTTTCAAACAACCCTGATGTGACACTCTTGCTTTGTCCTAGGGGCTGATTCCTCCTCATGGTTCCAAAGATACAAAACCTTGATGGGAATGTTGTGGCTTGTCCAAGCACTGTATGTACACGTTCTGGCTGCAGGTGAATGCCAGAAGGTCAGAGTCCTTTCCTCATCAGTGCTTGGTTTGGGTGGGAGAATGTTTGACTCGGATTTGTTGACCATGAATTGTCTCTCTGTATAAGACGACAGTATCTGAGAGAGGAAATAAGTTCTTTTTTATCTAGACACATATCTTAAATAAAAAAATTTTAAAAATCCGGTTCACCTTCTGTCAGTGTCTTGTCCAAGCAATCTCCTAACAAAGTCTCATTCAGTTTGCATATGCACAAAGGAAATGTCTTTCTCCTACCCCCCCCTCCTATTTTTGTAGCTGTCTTGTAAATCTTAATGAGATTTTTCTAGACACAGTGTTTAAGAGCATGTCATATGTAGTGTTAAAATTAATAATGTCTGATAAGTCAATTGCCTAAGTAGCTGTGATGGTGCGACGAAAACATTTTACAGATGGCACAGTGACCGATTGTGTGACTCTATATCAGCATGCGTAACACCGAAAAAGAATAGAGACTGAAGCATGTTGAAATTAATTGCTCAGAGGATATTCTCCATTGTAAAAATGAACATAATTAAATTAATCTTTACTGAAAAGAATAAAGACTACTAATGTTGTCATTGTACTTCATTTCTACTTGAATGAGGAAAAAGTAGTGTTAGTGATTAAAAGATTGTTTCCAAAAAGGAAATTATTAAAAAGAGGACATCATGCAGGCTCCTGTAACAATAACAGAACATCATCTATTTCATTGGCCTCCTTATACCCACTGCTAAATGACTATGACAAACAGATAGACCTTTAGTCAACTGGGTTAAATCTTCCCTGTGCAGAACTTGACCTTGGAAGGGTTGGGCATTATCAGCACTCATGGATTAAATCCTGCAAAATGCTGAACATTCCCACTCCTTACGGAAGAAGCTGGGACTTAGAGACTCGGCACCTATTGGGTCCTGAGTCTTGTTGTTGGCTTTGAAGTGTGGACTTCCCTTAGGACTGAATCTAAAGGAAGGGGGTATATAGGCTAGAGGTTCCTGAGAGTTACCTTGTTTCTCTTATCCGGGGTATAAGGAGGCCAATGAAATAGATGATGTTCTGTTATTGTTACAGGAGCCTGCATGATGTCCTCTTTTTAATAATTTCCTTTTTGGAAACAATCTTTTAATCAAGGAACAACCTTTCCTCTTCAAAAACTTATTCATTAGGAAACGTTTCTGCCCTGATGTTGGTGTTGATCCAGATCGATGCACCATGTCCCTCTCCTAGTATGCTGTGCACCTCCCACTCCAGCAAGCCCACCCTGTGTTAGAACATGAGGGTGCCTAGAGCAGCCTCACAAGTCTGCCTCCGTCCCTTCCTGGTGGCCGGAGCAGAGTGGTATGGCTCAAGGCGGGGGAAAGGAGGCAATTAAACTGCATGCCCTACCTGGCACTCAATGGAGCATTCTGAACATCCAGCAAATAACAGTAATATTGCCCTTTCCCCTAGCTGTGTCTGAAGACTTGACTCTCCCAGCTCCTCAGATTCAGGTGGGGGAGAGGGTTCTTCCTGACCCTGCCGAGTTGGATGGGAAGCGGCCTTCAGAAAAGGGGAACGTTTCCTAGGCCAGGCGAAGGATGGAAAACAAATTTCCCTTGCTCCCCATTGCTGTAATGCTTGCCAAGTTCTCACTAAGATTATCTGTTTACCTGATGATTATGAAATTATGTTTGCATACAAGAACCATGGAAAAATGTTTTATCTTTGTTTCAGTTGTCTCCTGAAAGCTGGGATAAAGCCAAGCAGTTCATATTACCAGGTAAGAGGCAATCTTTTATAAAACAAAATTATGTGTATGTACTTTTCTTCAGCAGGAGTCAAGTAATTTCTAGAGAGTAAGTGATCTAGTATAGTTCTTTAAGGTTGTGCTTTATCTAAAAGCTTTTGTGAACTTAACAAGTGTGGGAGCTGTTGGAAGATGTGCTAGTGACTTATTAATTTATATAGGCTTTTTAATTTTTCAGATGAATGCAATAAAGGAAGCTCTTACAAGATTTTATGGTGTAACGCCAAAGATCCAATGTCTTCCTCCAGAAGAGGTAAAAACCCCAAACAAACACACGTTCCCCAAACCCCCCAAAACTGAAAAACAAACAAAAAGCCAACCAAACAAAAAAACCCAATTTTTTTTTAAAGAGCACTTTTTATCAAAAAACAAAAGCAAAAACAGAATGAAAAATCTTCAGCATGGTGAAACTTAGGTCTGGGTGTTCCTTGTGTATACAGCTATTTGCAGATTCTTGGAGTTGAGTTCATAAAAACATTGCTTACATACTGGCACCACTGAGTTCAGCTTATGTAACTGTTGCCACAGCCTTTTCTTAAGGCAGAAATATTGTTAGTGGAGGAAGTGTCCATTCTTTACCTAGTAACTTTGCTGTTAGTATACTTACCCAGAAAGTGGGAGCACTGGGTTTTAAAGGCCTCTTTGTCTTAAAAGATTTGAACCTGCATCCCTTACATGAACGCTGTAACCACCACGCTAGAGGTATTGCTGTAGCTGAGTACTTTCCACTCCTCCTGCTAAAGCTTAATTGCCATATAGCAAATTACTAGAACCAACAATAGTGAGCTGAATGGAGCCAGTGACTGCCGGCCTTGACAAGGGTACTGCCTGTTAACAGCAGTCTTCCCTTCGCTGGGCATGGCTTGTGTGTTCTGCATGAAGTTACTCAATGGACAGAATCCTTCCAAAATAAAGCAGCTCAGAGGCTTGTCTCTGAGTTTGTTCTCAAAAGCCCGTATCTATAGAGGTACAAAAAGGCATTTTGAGCTTCGCTGTGGTTCAGGATGACTGTAGTCTTCCCTTTCAAGCCAATGGTGTCTAAAATTTCCATTTCTTTCTACTTTTCCTTGCCAACGATTGTACTGTGAGTCATGATGCAGTAGAGAATGTGTGCAGTAGAGACAGTGTGCTGTAGCGTAACATACAGATCACCATATCTGAACCAAAAATGCCTTTGAAGGAACAAAATAGTATTCTGAACAATTACATGGGTAGGCTGCATAGCTGTTTCTTTCCTTTTTCAGCTAGGTTACTCTGCTTTTATTCAAAAATAAAACAAAAAACCAAACCCACGAGATAGCTTTCCCTCTTATAAGTGGTTCCTTATTATCTCAGCTTGATAAAAGTGGTTTACTACGAAACGCTTGGCAGAGTTATTGCCCATACACAGATGACAATTTTATGAAAACTTGCCAAACTACAGTTGCTGTTGGAGTTTAATAGCTTGTGTGTTGTCAGCTCATTTGCTTTAGTAGTGCTCTGAGGTTTTTATACTCGGCTGTTTCTTCACATGAAAAAGAATTCTAGGTTACAATATTTTTAAAATGTAATTATAAATTAAAAATATATACTTTAATTTTTAAGTTACTTTAAGCAACAAAGGAATATGAGTTGAATGTGGGTTGCACACTCACCTACCTCTTGATGTTGAAGAAATACAGAGCTAACACAAACCCCAGTTCCGAGCCCTGTTCACTGTAGTTCTACCATTGCTTTTAGTACAATTGGGAATACTGCTCAAATTATGTGAAAGTAATTTACAGCTTGAGTCTCCTGTGCTTAACAGCTGAAGCTAATGGGTAATAGAAAGGAAAAAGTACACCCCAGTTATTTAACAATAGCCCTTTTCAGAGTTCCAGCCTTGTCAATGCCTGAAGTGCATTATTGGAGGTACTTTGATGTTTAAAACATATTACACGCTTGCTGTGTTCGTGTCTTTAAAAAAAAAAAAAACAAACACACACACACAAAACCAAAACAAAAAAACACACAACCAAAAAAACCCCCAAAACCAAACCAAAGCCACAACAAAAAAAAACCCACCACAGTTACTTTTGTCTTGTATGTATATTTTTGTCCTGCTTAGTGGTTTCAAAACCAAATTTTTTCCACATGCACTTTGTCACACCCAAGCATTTTGAGGGATTTTCATATAATCTTCTTCCCCACATGAAAGGCTTCCATGCCTGCCTGCCTTATTCGTGGCCAGTATTTTTCTTCCTAGTCTTTCCTGTAGTCCAAAAACGACATTTCTGCTACTTTTGACAGCTTGCTTCTGTATTCTTTTCAGTAAAAGCTATTATAAAACCAAGTTTCTTTTCTCCTTTTTGGATAATTTTCTTTGCCTCAATTCCCATCCTGCTACAAAAGAGTCGGTGGAAGGTGGCTTTCAGGTCACACATACCCTTCAATATTCACAGAGTTCAGACAGAGCTCATCATTAAGGTGAACAGCTTCTGTGTACTGTGCAGATCTGGTAAATGCTACGATAATCTGTGTCACAGCATTTCATAATGAGACTTACTAGTTAGGCAGATTCCCCAAATTGTTACCGAATTATGTCATTGGAATGCGTTTCCTTGTCTGCTTGCTCCTTAAAGACAACTATGTACTATAAGCTGTTCAGAGTGGATGCCTCTGGTACCTGTCTCCTTCACATTTTTTCAAGTGGCAAATATATAAATAAGCATTACTGTACTTTATAGGTAAGGCAGTATATCTGAAGAATTGATTTATTTTCTTCTCCTCATCAAGCTGATCTCATCCCTCATGTTTCTAGGGTGAAAAAGCACAAACAATTGGTCAGATTGAATTCTGCTTCACCAAAGAACTGCAGCTGAGAAACTGCACGGCGCCGAAGGGTGACTCCGACCCAATGCAGGCTGACCTGAAGCTTGGAACTGAGGAGCTGTCTGTCTGCAGTGATACCCTCCCAACCTATTATCCTTCACAGGTCCAAGATCACAAATGAAGCTATAAGAGTTTGAAAAACTCTTTAAACAGCAACAAAACCTTTAAACATTATGCCTTGGAAAGCAGTCTTGACTTAGCAATATTACAAAGCCCTGTCCATATCACAGGCATGCTGTGAAGATTTCTGCTGGAAAACACACTTCTTTTGCCATTAAAGAAGAATGGTCCGCATCGTGATATCAGTTACACAGGCTGAAGTATTGAATTGTGGCTCTGATATTGATGGGATCAGAATCTGATTTACAGTTTTGCCTGGACTTTTCGGGTTGCTTATGGTTTGAATCAATGTTCAAAAGAGAACTGTGACTTCTTAGTTTCACTTGCAGTTAGGTCTGCCACTTCAGCCACTTTTGGTTTTTGCCAGTGAGTCAGGGAAATTAAGTCATTCTTTGTTTTGAAAGGGTGCTTGTCCCTCTGAGATGAGATGACAATTTCTTGAGAAGAAAATACTGTAAACAAAAAGAACTTAGAAACCTGTCTGGAGGTCCTTTCCCAGACATAATACCCACTGCCTTGCATAAATTTGCTCTCCAGAAGTGCTGAACAGAGGCCACGTCCTCTAAGGCATTAAACCTTTCCTCACTTAGAGATCACGGCGGACCAAAGATGACAACTTTTGCATAACTTCTTAGTGAATGAAACAACATTCACCAGGTTTTGGCACTTCTGCCGAAAGGACCCCAGGAAGACTGTATTTGTAGCCTTACCTATTCTTTGATTGATTTTCCTACAGTAGCTCCATAGAGTCTTGAAAAACAACCAATCTTAGAACTTACTTGCTAGTACAGGAAAATGTTAGGCCCTAGAAATACGTTGTTATTAAGTTTTCATTGTATTTGAACATTTAGCATTACCACACGTGTGAGTGCCTGCATTTTTATTTAAATATGAGATTATCACATAATCACTTTGTTCCAAGAAACAGCTTTTTATAGGTGAAACAGTAAATACTACAGGATTTTCAGTGAAAAGTACAAATGTTAGCAGTAGTGCATCTCTATCCCAGAATAATTAATAACATGCCACAAAGCTGGATGTTTCCAAAGGGGACCAAATTTGGATGACATCCTCTACATAGTGCTGTGTTGATGTAAGTGTCTCAAATTGTCTTTCAAAGAAAGACAATTACGGCTCAAGGAACCATCTGTTAGAAGAATATTACTGTGGATACATGAAATGCGGTGTTAGGAACAAATTTGTTATGGCTTTTGGGGTTAGAAACCATTCACATTTACTCTCCTTTTTGACTGTCCCTGTTTCTCTACCACCTTTCATTTAAGGCTCTGTTACCTTGCCATTCTAGAATGCTGTCAGTTTTTTAGTCCTTTCTTTAGAAACTCGGATATTTATTTATTTTAACAGTTAAGAAATTAGTATGATCTGCACTCTGTTGTATCTGTAATTCAGTAGAGGGAGGGCTTCTCTTTCAAAATTTGTCTTCCTTCCCGAGAGGGGGAATATACTAATGTATACTAATACTAAATAGTAATGAGATCTAGTGTTTTTATAGTAGCCATGGCATGTTCAGGTCATGTTGAACATGACCAGAAGAATCACAATTCTTCATTCCCCCATTTCTGCCATCTTGTTCTAAGCAAGAAAAAGTAGGGAGACTGAACTAAAATGCTTAAAAGGACTAGAATGTTCTTGTTTTTTGTGGAATCTTTTTGAGATCACTAATATTTTTTTCCTTCTAATTACAAAAATTATCTTAGCCTAAAGAAAACAAATACTTGTTGGAAAAAATGCATTTCTCTGCGAAGGAGCAGCCCAAGGCTCATGTATTTTTTTTAAACTCTCTCTCCAACTCTTTCAAATAGTGCTTAGATGGTGCGTAGGTTTGGGGTGGACTACATAGAGTGCAAACAACTTAGAATGGACATTAATTTACAATTCATGTCATAAGGGTTGTTTGGTTTTTTTTTTAGAGCAGCAAGACTCACCTTTTCCTCAAAATTGTGCTTTTTTTTAATGGTTTGGATTTTTTTTGTCCTTTGGCGAAGTGCCTTGTTCTCCTTTTCCTTTCAAAGTTCTGAGAGTGCAGTGCCATATCCTTGCTTGTTAAGCTAATCAGCAGTGAGGGAAGTGGAAACAGAGGTTGGGAATTACTATCAGTAGCATTGGTTCTTGCACAGACATACGCTTAATGGAAGCTCAAATCAATAGCCTGTTTGTTGCTTTTTTTTAATTGCAGTGTAAATTTTATTCTTTTTTATAATGCCAAATAATGCTTAGGGAGACAAAATATACAGTATGAGTTCTCTGCAGTTCAAGTGACATGAGGAAAAACTTCTTTACTGAAAGAGTGGTTAAACGTTGGAAGAGGCTGCCCAGGGAAGTGGTTGAGTCCCCATCCCTGGAAGTATTTAAAAGACGTGTAGATGAGGCGCTTAGGGACATGGTTTAGTGGGCATGGTGGTGTTGGGTTGACGGTTGGACTCGATGATCTTAGAGGTCTTTTCCAACCTTAATGATTCTATGATTCTAAGTGTAATGCATTAATTTAAGCAAAGCCAACAACTGAAAATACGTACTTTACAAGGAAGTGACACAGACACTAACAGCTTTCACAGTGTGAGGCTCAAAGGTAAAGCTGACTCTTGCCAAATAGAGAGTCAGTGGATACAGAGAAGAGTCAGAAACAACCAGCCTCGGCAGTAGAGTAGATAGTATAGCTTCCATCTGTTTTTCAGCCTCATTTTCAAATGCAAGATATGTGAGGGAGCTGATAAAGTTTAAAACTTTGAGGAGAAACTAGCATAATCTGAAATGAGAGAGAGGCAGGGAGGGAGACAGCAAAGCCAGCAGCATGCTAAACGACCACCTGCAACTGAGTAAAAAATGACTGATGAATGTTAAGTCAAGGTTGGCTAAAAATAACTTCACAGATTCTGAAGTCTTGTTTAAAGGGACATACCTGAGGTACTGCATTCGCCTTAACAAAACCCACCCACGTTCTTTTTATTTTGCCAACATTATTACACGTTAAATATTTTAATTTGCTATGATTAATTTATTAGTAGTAGCAATAAAACACTATATATGACTACCGTTGCTTGCTTTTTGACGATCCCACCTGCCTAACTTCTAGGAAGACACAAATGTCTTTTACAAGTTACTGACTGATTTTTATGCAGAGAACTGCCAAGACACTATAAAGTTTTAAGTGATACCTTTAAGGGATGCTTTAAGGGCTATGTCTGGATGTGAGCAACCAGGAGAGCAGATGAATGAATGGTAGCACCGGTTCAGACCAAAGATCACGTCCAGCCCTTTGTGTTCTCTCTAGCAATGGCTTGCAGCCAGTTACCAGCCTTGGCAATTTGTTTCCGTCAGAATGTATATAATTTCGAGAGTTGGATTAACACAATTTAAATACAATAGGTAAACAAAGGTATCTTGGGAGCCTTGAAAATCGCTTCAGTTCTGAAAAGTGTCACTCGCTTCCTTAAGCAAAATAAAATCTGTCAGCCTTGAAGATTCAACGCAGCCTGGAGAAGATGGGGGGGCTATATTCTTTTCTGCATCAGTAAATAAACTAACTAAATCCCAACAGGGTGTGGTTTGTGCAGTCTCAGTGCTTTAAAACAAAGGGACTTAGCTTGTTTATATCCTTTGTCCGTGTGCTCTCTCATGCAAAATGCATAAGCATCCCTTGGCGTGTGGGTTAGAGCATGGGCTGTCTGTCCCCTTTCCAAGGACAGCCCCTCTTCCTAGACCATGGGCCGGTTCTTTTCTCTCTTGTTCTCTCGCTTTCTTCCTGGCCTGCGCTGAGCCTTTCTCGGCTGCACAGGAGCGCAGCTTCAGCCAAGATTACAGTGGGGGGGAAATACGAGATTGGAAAAAGCAGCTTCTACTCAGTTTCTTCAGGTAGCTACCCATGCATGTGTATATTGTGCTTAAGGCCGTGTCTGTCTCTCCCTACCAGCAGCCAGCCGATCTGCCACTGCCAACAGGAACAGGAGACGGGAGAAGCAGAGGGGAGTTCTCCCCATCGCTCCTGTTCTTAGTGGGTGCAGCGACCAGTTGCCGTTGCCTAGCTGATAGGCAAAGCTACCTCTGCAGGCTGAAATGGAGGTGGCACAGGCCTCTGTCCTGTCCCCACTCTGCACCCTCAGTGGCTGGCGAGTGCTGGGCTGTGCTGCTGGCCCCAGCCGCTGCCCCCAGCCGCTGCCCATCGGAAGGAAGAAACTGGCAGCAGGACTGCAGTGCCCACACAGCACGTCAACACACTGCAAGTCAAGTCCCACAAATGTGGACAGCCTAGGTATCTACAGCAGCAAAGCAGCAGGTGCTGGCTTTTGCAATGGGCAAGGGGGATTTTCACAGGGATGGGTTCTTGAATTTGGGCACCTCAATTCTGGTGTGGTTGCACTTCAGGCAGCTGTGCTCTGTTTGGATCTGGCTCTTGAGCGCCTTTAAGCCAAGGCCATAAAAGGTTAATGGCGCTGCTAACAATATTATTGCTGCCTGATGATGGTATTGATGATGCAAAGGGAAAATACGAAGACTTTGCAAGTCGCTTTCCCAGGAATGGAGCTATCGATGATGAGAAATGTTGTATTTATTCTAAATTCAGACTGTCTTGCTGCTCAGGCAGCTTCCTTCACAAGGCTCGCTGCATGCCTTCCCTTCCTGTGTGTAAGTATTCCCGGCTCCACAAAGTTGCCGTAGATCACCCAGAGTTGATATAAATAATTCATTTTAGAAAGGATTTCAATTTCTTGTGCTTTGGAGAATAAGAGCTTTAGTATACAGGCTAAGTGAGACCTGACGTGGGAGATGGGCAGATTATTTTTTTGTGTGCTGTGGTCTTCATTATTCCTTACCCCAAAGTACACTGGAGCGTCACAGATTGGGTGAGGATTAGATAGACCTCAAGAGCAGCCAAGCCCAACCGTGCCCACAGATCGGTGGTATGAATCCTATCAATATATTCAGCATGAAAATCACAGTGCTGACATTCAGACACAGTGCTCAGTTTGAAGGACTGATGTTTCAGTAATCTTTTATAAAAAAAGAAGCAAAAATGACCATATTTGATAAGAAAATTCTTAAGCAAGCTGAAGAATACCATGGTGCTGTCTGTAAGAAATACTTTTCTGAGTACAGCCTCACTTACCAGAAAACACGCTGTTCACTTAAGATTTTTCTATAACTCACACAATTGTTTGCATTAGAGACCGGTGCTCTGCATGTAAATCAGAGAAGATGAGCCAAAACAAAATTAGCAAGGACTAAAAGCACAGCAGTTACCCTGTAATAATTACAATATCTATAAACAAGTGTGCTGTATCCCAGCAGCTACCTGCCATTAGATCACTTACTTCTGCTTAGTATTGTTGAGTAAAACTTGCTGTCAGCTTTGGAGAGAGGCTTCTCTCTTTCCAAAGTGCTCAGCTGAGGGTGGAGAAGCTGTGCAGAGGCTGGAAGAGCTGTCATGTCACCTGAGTGCTGTCAGTTTAGCCCATCAGCCTTCCACAGATCCATCTCCCTTACCAAGATTTCATAGGTTGAGTTATGATCGTGAAGGCTACGCGTGTCCGAATGACTTGTGCTATCAGTTGCCAGTGCCAGCTGTTGCAGGCTTGTGTTCAAAAGAATATTGTGCAGGGACTGTCCCTCCTCATAAACCCTGTTTTGCAGGTATTTGCCAAATGCCTGGGGCATGCATTTGTCAAGGATTTATTAGGCAGGAGCTGGCTGACTAATGCACGAAGTGGGAACCACTTTCTTGTCTCCCGGGCTCTCAGGTGTTTGGGGCTTATCCTACTGAGGTAGTCATTTTATACATAACAGCTGGCCCTGCCTTATTTATCCTCCAGCCCCTGGATATCTTAAAAGATTTCAGTCTCACAGTTTCTGTGGGATTCAGTGAGCAGCTTGTCATTTCTGAAGCCGACTGCAGGATGATCGATGTAACAAAATAGCTCTGGGACACAAACTACCCTCTCATTTCCAATGCCTCATGTTGTTTTCGATTCCTTTCATTATTCTCAGTGACTTGAGGGGTGAACAGACCACGCTCTTTGATCTCACAGAGTAACCAAACCATTTATGAAGGCACAGATATTGTAGCAGAGAAGAATCTCTTAAATCTCATGGACAAAATACACTCAAAATAAATACCTATTCCCTCCCCCCCCC